AGTACCGGAGGACGAGGAATGATGTGTTTCTGTGGCTCAGATTCTGCAGCTGCTGCAACTCTTATCAGAGTCGTACAGTAAATCTCAGAGTGTGTTTGGGGTGGACTGTAGCGTGTTCAGGGCGAGACGAGCCGCAGCAGAAGGTCATTAGAAAAGAGCTGGTCTGCGTCTGGAGTCTGTCACACTCCTGCCACTCTGTGCCGATGGTATCCGTCAGAAACGAAATTTAAGAAAACTAATTCAAAGGGCCCTAAAAACGTATGTGTATAAAAAAAAATAAAATAAACTTTAAATAAATTGTTGTTAAACTGTATAAGTTCCATGAGTTCAATTAATTAGACTTGCTGTTTGATTACTAAAAACTTACTTAATTAAAATTTAATTCAGAAAAATTAAAGCTGAATTTGGGGAAAAAAATAAAACATTTCATAGGCTAATTATAATTATACATGCTCTTGGATTATTCAAATTTAATATAACCATTTATAACGTTTTTTAATAAATGTTTCATTTCACGTTCACAGTTTCACGTTCATCTGACGTTTTTTTATGTCACTTTGTTTCAGAACGTTCAGAGAGCATCCAAATGTAACGCTCCCATAATGTTTACAAGATGATACAATGGAAGTGTTGCCTTACACTGGTCGTTTTGAACGTTCAGAAAACATTTAGAAATACCGTTTCCATAATTTAATGGGAACATCAGCAAAACATTCTTAGAACATATTTTTGTGAGATAAGTTCACATCAAATCCAATATGGCATATGTGTGTTTCTGTGTTCTGCTCCATCAGCGTGTCATGTGATCGGTGTGTGTGTGTGTGTGTGTGTGTGTGTGTGTGTGTGTGTGTGTGTGTGTGTGTCGGTCAACAGGTGGCGCCGCTGCAGGTATGAGTGTTATGTTGACTATGCTGAGGTCACATGAGTTAAGCGCGTCCCGTCCCTTCAGCAGCACACATGATCCACTGCCACTCTGAGATCTGAAGATTCACTTCCTTCACGTCAAAACAAGAGACGCCGCGCATTCAGATCCGATTACAACACACAACTCACACTACAGTTAACCAGTGCAAACACAGTACTACGCTGATACTACCGTACACACACACACACACACATATATGCAATATGATTTACATGCACATATATGCATTTATATATAAACAAATACACATATTAATAAAAATAAACAAATTTGCATATGTGTCCCTGCAGCACAAAAGCAGTCTTAAGTCGCTGGGGGATATTTGTAGCAATAGCCAACAATACATTGTATGGGTCAAAATTATACATTTTTCTTTTATGCCAAAAATCATTAGGATATTCAGTAAAGATCATGTTCCATGAAGATAGTTTGTAAATTTCCTACCGTAAATATATCAAAACTTAAATTTTTATTAGTAATATGCATTGCTAAGAACTTCATTTGAACAACTTTAAAGATGATTTTCTCAATATTTAGATTTGTTTGCACCCTCAGATTCCAGATATTCAGATAGTTGTATCTCAGCCAAATATTGTCCTATCCTAACAAACCATACATCAATGGAAAGCTTATTTATTCAGCTTTCAGATGATGCATAAATCTCCATTTAAAAAAATTGACCCTTATGACTGGTTTTGTGCTCCAGGGTCACATATGTAAATATACTGTATATGCAAGCATAAATGTATGTATGTACATACACATATGCAAACACACATTTTATATATGGAAATATAATTTACATATCTATGCATTTGTATATAAAGGAATACACACATATATATTTGTATGAATAACAATACACAAATTTAAATCAAATTTGCAGATATAAATATGCATGTGTGTACATACATACAAATATATATATATACTGTATATAATATTTATTATAATATATTCCATTTATTAAAATTTTTTACACACAAATATACAAAATAAGTGTGTATATACGTATTTATTTATTTAATGTATATAACGCATTCATGTATATGTCTAGTGCATGTACTGTATGTTTATAAATGTATGTATTTTTCTACATAAAACATATAATAATAATTTGTTACATTTATATAGCGCTGTTCTGCGTACTCTGGGGAATCTCCTCAACCACCACCATATACAGCAGTATACCACGGTAGTACCATAGTACGTCCAAAACAAACAGAGCATTTGTTGTTTATCAGAAACGCTCTGCTGTTCAGTCGTTCTCTGTTAAAGGCCGTCAGAGCAAATATATGCTAATGACCGGACAGTCAATGGAATGGAATGATAATTTATGTAAATGCAGTTTTGTCGTTCCACTCTTTATGGCCTCGAGCACCTCTCGTCCGATTGGCTGATGAATCCTGTGATGCGCTAATGGGCAGTTAGCGCTCAGGCTAATGGACTAGCGATTAGCCTGGTGTGGGAGTGTCACGCGGTGATCCTGAGCGCTTATACAATCACAGCAGTCATCGGGAATGAGAGTCATTGAACCTGCTTAATTACTGTGATAATTGCGTGTGGTTTGCTGGGGGCCCGGGGCTCTGGTGGCGTGATGCTAATGTGACAAATCCCTAATAACGCTAAAGCTTTCCTGCGCCATTACTAGAGAAACACCGGAGCATCTAAACAACAACTAACACAGTGTTTATTTAGCTAATGAACTCCTCGTAAGTCCAGAAATGAGCTCCATCTGCGCTGACGACGTTTAAATGACATCAAACTCTAGCCATTCACGAACGACTCACATGAACAAATCTCAACTCACTGAATGAAGCATCAAGACACAACGACACAACCAGGGACTGGGAAGACACTAACTTGCACTAAAACTAAATGAACTACATTAAGATTCATTGAAGTGAATCAGTTTGTTGTAGTGAATCAGTTCATCATAGTGAATCAATTCGTTATAGCGAATCAGTTCGTTGTAGCGAATCATTTTGTTGTAGTGAATCTGTTCATTGTAGTGAATCAGTTCACTATAGTGAATCAGTTCATCATAGTGAATCAGTTCATAATAGTGAATCAGTTCTTTGTTGTGAATCAGTTCATTTTAGTGAATCAGTTTGTTGTAGTGAATCAGTTCATTTGGACTGTGGTGAAGCAGTTCAAATAAAAAAAGATTCTAAAAAAGATTCATAAATTACTTAATCTTCAGACTCATTTTTGGTTCTGCACATCATTTTGAACCTTTTTTGTATCCAATTATTAATTTAAATGGTTTTATCAGCTGTATTTCGTGTAAATGTAGGTGTACAGGTATAATGTAAGTATTGTAAGTCGATTGTAAGTCGCTTTGGATAAAAGCATCTGCTAAATGCATAAAAATTATTTTTGTAACAAATACACTCTGATCTGACTTGCTGTATATAAAAAAAAAACTTTAATATTGTAGTTACGTAACTAAAAAGAAAATGTCACTTTACTTAGCTTAAAGTGAATAGATTCAGCACAGCTACTTTTTGTTTGTATCTTATAGTATAGATCAATGGTTTTCAATATTTTAGATGAACACTGACCCCCATACTAAAATTTAAATAAACAAATAAATAAATACATCTATATATTTTTATGCATAAAACCCCAACTTATACTGTTGAAAAAATTGATGTTAAAATATGAATAAAATATTATTTGGAATTTTTTTCAATTATGTTACATTATGATGTTTATTTTCTACTCATTATAGTACTGTACTGTTAGATGTATTATTAATTTGTTTGATTATTTCATCTTTTTTTATTTTAATTAAATTATTTATTTATTTATTTATTTAAAACATAATATTATAAATATGCAAAATATTATTTGGAAAATATTTACGTTTTTTGTGTTACAGCATTATGTGTTTTTTTTACTCACTATAGTACTGCACTGTTAGATGACATTTTTTTTTCATTTAATAATTTTTTACATTTATTTTATTCAATTTATTTATACTTGTTAATCAAATGATTAGCTTATTTTTTATCTTTACATTTTTACATTGTTTTTCCCTAATTTTTTGCACAGACTCTATTTTTAAAACCCCTGGTATCGTTCCAGGTTATTATCATCGTCTAAAACTAAAACAATTTTAAAAATCTAAACATTTTCATTACTTGAAATTAAATAATTGTCAACTGAAATAAAACAATTATAATAATAATAATAATAATAATAATAATAAAAAACGAATTTAACTAAATAAAATAGAACTAATAAATAAAGATTAATAAACAACACAAAAAATTATTAAAACTTTCAAATAAAATTTAATTAAATAAAATTAAAACTACAAAAGTATCTAAAATAACACTGGTATGGATAACTAGAGAAATGGCTTTCAGTGCAGCTTCTCCATCACTGGTTGCCAGTCGCCAAATGAATAAGCTGTAAAGTAGTAAAATTACTGTTTTTTTTACCTGCGCACTTGGTGCGGGCCCTGAGCAGGGGACCCGGGGCCCCGGTGCCGCCCTCGTTGGGTCTGGTGAGCAGCACGCTGATCTCGTACTCGGTGTCAGGGTCCAGGTGGCCGATCTTGTGGTTGGGTTTGTCGACTGGTTGGCTGTCGATCAGGCTTCCGGAAAGCGTGCGGTACTCCACCTCCTTCTCGATAATGGGCCCGTCGCCGTTGATGGAGTTTGCGTTGAGCTGGATCCACAGGTAGGTGGCGCCAACCGCCGTCAGCTGAGGAGGAGCGATGGGGATCGGAGGCTCTGAATGACAGAGACAACATCAATATTATTACCCCAATTTTACAGTCTCTGCACTGGCTACCTATTAAGTTCCGTATCAGTTACAAAATATTATTACTTACCTTCAAGGCCTTAATGGGTTAGCTCCTGCGTACCTAACTAGTCTTCTACCACGCTACAATCCATCACGCTCCCTAAGGTCGCAAAACTCTGGACTTTTGGTAGTACCTAGGATAGCAAAGTCCACTAAAGGAGGTAGAGCTTTTTCGCATTTGGCTCCCAAACTCTGGAATAGCCTTCCTGATAACGTTCGGGGTTCAGACACACTCTCTCTGTTTAAATCTAGATTAAAGACACATCTCTTTGGCCAAGCATTCAAATAATGCATCTCATAATCTTGTGCTGCAGTTATATCTGATCAAATGCACATTATTATTCTTTAGTTTGGGTTAAACAAATCAATTTTGCTTGGTTGGAACAGCAGCTACGCTAATTATGTCTCTATTTGTTTCTCTGTTTCTGCTGGGATTGACATCCCGTGGTAACTAGGATTTACACAAGCTTCAGTCTGGATCCAGAACACCTGAGAAGAGATGATGCAACCCCTCAGAGGACCTCAGATGATGCCAACCCTGAAACAACATACAGAACTACCACATTTTGCTATAAGTTTGATTGCATCATATAATAATTGCTGTTAATAGTGTTCATCGTCTGTTTGATTACGTCTTAAATTGATTTTTCCGTACATTTCTGCCATATGTACATTAACTGACAGTCACCACTGATAAGCTACCACTAAATATTGTAGAAACTTAATTTGCTGTAAAGTTGCTTTGCAACGATTTGTATTGTAAAAACGCTATACAAATAAACTTGAATTGAATTGAATATTATCACAACACAGAAGGACATTTCAGCCATCATATCGCTAATATTACAGCCATGTAACTTGAAAGAAATTTCCCTTTAGCTAGATGAAAGTTAAGTAGATTTATAGCAGTTAGCTACATTTTGTTAAGTAGCTTGTTATTATTTAATTTTACATTTTTACACAGTTTTTCTCTAGTATTTTCTACAGACCCCAGTTTGAAATCAGGGTTATTATCGTTAACTAAAACTAAAACCATGCTAAATAAATAACTAAATAAATCAAAATTGATAATCAAAATATAATGCATGTTAACAGAAATAAAATGATGAGCGAGTACATTAATGTAATTTCAACATATAAAGTCATTTTTTCAGCTGTCATTTCTACAATAGTAAAGACGCAATTTATATGTTAAAAAATGTATATTATAAATATAAGATATTATATTGTAAATATATGGGGTTTTTCATGTTACATTATTATGTTTATTTTGTATAAAAAAATAATTTATTTGTTTAATCAAATTATATACTTATTTATTCAGCTAATTAATTTAATCTTATTTTTATAATTTATTTATCATTAACTATTATTTTTAATACATTTAGATCAGGGTTATGATTGTTAACTAAAACTAAAACCATAAAAACGTTTTCATTACTTGTAATAAAACAAACATTAACTGACATTCTATCTATCTATATATAAATATATATATA